AAAGGAATCACAGACACTCCGTGACTTTTTTTTCTTTTCTTTTCTTTTCTTTTTTTTTTTCTTTCTTTTTTTTTTTTTTGAAGCGACAAATCAGGAACTCAAAACTCTCTCAGGAAGCCCCAACGGAAAAACTGAGGAAGCGGCTACTGAGCAGGTGGTTCAACAGGTGCCAGGTCACCAGGTCCCTGCCCGGGAGCTTTCCTTGTAGCTAAAGGAATGCAGTAGACTTGGAAAGTTCCCTGCTCGTGTTGCATGCCACAGTGCCCTTTTCCTTGCCCCACAAGTTGTCAGGTTTCTAAGGACACTGAAACTGGCAGAGGGGGCATCCAAACGCATCGACTGACATTTATTTTTGCACAAATCTCCATATGGAGAGCATAATCCCAGGAAACCATGTTTTGAGTAGTATGAATTTAGGGGAATACTTGTTATGAAGTCAACCTTGTTTAGGATTTTGATGAAAAAGAAAATGGGTCCTCAAAGCTGAAATTTCTTCAGCAAGAATAATTAAATTTGGGTTTTTTTTTTTAAAGGTCAAATTTTTGTTTTGATATGAGCCCTGAATAACATCATTGTTGTCACCCAATTAATTTAGTACTTGCTGTCCACTAGGCAGACCATTAAGAAATTGTAATTTCCAGTATTTTGAACAAAGCTGGGAGAAATGCCAGTGGTGAGGGTTCAGCATTTGTGTTTGTGGTGTGTGGGGGGACGGAATGGGAAGGGGAGAATTGAGTTGTTTATTCCTATAAGCTTCTTGATCGTTCGAAAGAAAGCATAGAGCATCCAACCAGAAGGGTAGGTGCCACTGTGAAAAATGAAGGAGGAAGTACACTTGAACCTCAGGCCAGAGGACCCAAAGAATAAGTTGGTGGAGGAACTGGAGTTGAACATTTCTCACCCTACTCCAGATGTGGACAGACTATGGACAGCAATACCACTTTTCTTCAAATGAATATTCCGGAGCCAGAAGGAAGCACCTTGTGAGCAGGAAGAATACATTTGTGTTGAAATAATGGATGTAAAATACCTCTCCCTGTACGCTATTGTCAAAACAAATCAAAGAGGAACAGGGTGAGGAAGGGAAGGCAGACCATCTATTATGGGACAGGCAGAGCTCTGAGTATCAAAAACAAAATGACATGTTGAAAAATGTTAGAGATGACATTTTCCTAGCTCCGCACTCCATTTTCTATAAATTCTTTTCACTTCTATATGTCTGTTGCAACATGATTCAAACTAATGGTAAAATAATGTTATGAGAGTAATTTAAGCAAAATAAATGCATCTTGGTGATATCATAAAATTTTATAATTTTGCAATTTATCAGACTCACTCGGTAGTTTTACCAGAGGTGAACTAAGTGTCCTGTGGAAAAAAAAAATGTACCCTCTTCCTTCGTGTAGTCTGGGGCATGTAGACTCTGTGCTGGGCTGGGGAGTGGCTGTCAGCCCAAACAACGGCTAGATTGTTATTTCTCAACACATTTTTAATGTATCTCAAAAGCAGAGGTGGGGGACAAGCAATGTATCCTTTATATATTCATTTCTAAAATAAACCAAGAAAACACTGGGACAAATTTAATGCTTTTTAAAAAATCTCTAGCTGTGACCTTTATTCACATCTGCTTAAGGTAAGACAGAGCTACATTATTTCGGTGATGTTACAATCATCTAACCTGGGTCCTAGGTTTTATAGTCTGTGCTTCACTTTCAGATGACAGTGGTGTCTCTGGCACCTCCAAAGCTCTTTGCCTGATTTTGCCAGGGGTGCCCATATTCCTAGACTTAAAAATGAGAAAGAGTTTTCAAAGGACAGCTATATGTTCAGTAGTTTATCATCACACTTCAAAGTATTCTAAACGTAATGGCTTTTAACAATGTTCAGAACTCCCTCGCCTCCATCCCTCTCCTCTGTGGGTCGCCTGGGTAATTCTGGGCATTTTTTCTCCTGATGTCTCTTGAGTACCAGATGGAGGTGATAGCATCAGATGGAGGGAAGTTGAGCTCCCTTCCTTTGGGGGAGTCTTGGGTCCTACCCTCTGCAGAATTTCCTTGTGGTCTCACTACCTTTGTAGCTGGTAACTAGATTTTTTACACAGTAGCTTAGAGCTTCCAAAAGCATAAGAAACAGAATCTAGCAAACCTTCCTAAGGGAGGGGGTCCAGAGCTGGCACATTATCACATCCACTACATTCTGTTGGATTAGAGTGGCAAATTCAACCCAAGTTAAATGTGGGACAGGGTCATACAGGGATGGTTTTCTAGTGTCAGCCTTGGTGAGCAGTCACTACCACTACCATGTCAGAGCAAAAGATCATGGGTCTTTTGGCAGGGCAGCAAGAGTCTATCAGAATATTTTGGGCTGGGGTGGGGAGCATGTGACTCCAAATGTCCCTTGATTCATGTCATAAAAAGAACTCAGTGGTGTGGTGGTGTGGGAGCCTCTTGACATGTCACTTGGTTTTCAAATATAGGGAAGCTGCCTTTTGCCTTGATGCGTGGATACCATCCTTCCCAACAAATCTCCATCAGGGGTTCGTAAGATTTTAGGCTCCCACAAAAATGTCCTTGGACAGAGTGAAGGGGCAATGACTTTCCTGAAATTATACCTAAACTATTGAAATGTGTGCCTGTGCACAAATTCTCAGGAGGGGGATCCTTCACTTTCCTAGACTATCACCCAAATAAAAAATAAATTAAAAAAATAAGCCATCTAAAGGTGCTTAGAAATCAACAGGAGCTGCCCTGGGTTCTTTCCTCCTCATATATTTCTACCGCATCTCTGGTAAGAGATGGGAAGAGACAACGCATGCTTCAATGCATCCTTTACACGTTTAGTTGCCAAGTGAAGTGGTAAAAAGTTGAGATGAATGTTGTTTTTTTTTTTTTTTACATTTTTTAATTTCATTTCATTTTATGGCATCGGTTCATAGGCTCTGAGGTTCCCCATCACTGACCGCTACAGGTGTTCAGTTCCTTTGAGTGCTTAAAGAAGGAAATGATTTTATGTCCTTACCTCTAAGAACTACCTAGGGGACTGATGACCTCTGTGCTGGTTAAAGCATTGAAATGACCCAGATTTAGAGCAGCCCCATGTGCTCTCACACCTGTCACTGGTGAAGGGTTAATAATATAATTTAGGGAGTTGGCCTTGTGATGCGGCAGTGTTCATTAAGCCTCTGGTATCCAATTTGGCAGGTCAAGTCCCAGGCTGCTGATCCTGTGCTTCTGTCCATGCTAATGTACCCGGAAAGGCTGCAGTACTTGGGCCCCTGCCACTCCCTGGGAAGTTACTGGTTTCTAGCTTTTGCTTGGCTCGGCCCTGGCCCCAGCAAATCAGTAGATGCAAGATCTGTCTCTCCTCCCACACTCTCCCCTTCCCCGCCCTGTCTCTATAATTCTGCTTTCCAAATAAATAAATCAAAAAATAAAAATGTAACTTAGCAGGATTTTGAAATCTTCCTTTTTTTTCCCTTCTCTTTTCCCCATATTTTATATTTATTTTTGGTTTAAAAGTAGCAGCCATAGATACTCTTTGGGTTCCCTTGGGCTGAGAGTATTACTAAAAGATCTAGTGTGATCTAAGCAGATCACGTGGCCATGAACTTGGGCCAAGAAGGCCCCTTTGTGCCCTTTATCCCCTGAGATGTTGTGTTGAGGGCAGCCAGACTGGAACCTGAACTACATGTCTGGGGCCAGAGGGAGGAAACAATGTGGAGAAAGGCAGACCACTGAAGTAAATTCACTGGCGCTCATTGGATAATCCTGGCATGAACTTTAATATTTGGAAAAGTTTTTAAGGTAGTTTCCATTACTTCTACAAATCACTTACCTTTCCTCGCTGAAATCCAATCCCTCACATTGCTAGCATCTAGCAATTCCTTCTTTTAAAACATAGGGTACACGACACATATGTGGAAATCATCCTCCGATGTGCCTTCCATTTCTCTAGATCAGATCTAATTTCTCACTACTGGAACATCATCTCTCCCAGATACACCTGGCACAAAGGAAACTCACTTTCTTCCTGATAAAGGTCGATTTACTCAAATTTGAAAAGCACACTGCGTATAGATCATTCAAAGATCCTTTCCAAAGCTAACGTCAGCTGTCATGCCTGAATGTAGTTTCAGTACATATCACAGAAAAGCAAAACACACCATGAAATTTTATTTTGATTAGCTCCTATAATTTGTCACCCAGCAACACCACTTCCCTGAGTGTAAACATGTGAGAATGAACAGCAAGTTCAATGTTGAGCGCATAAGGACTGTGGGTGGAAAATGAGAAGCAGGAAAAAAATCCAACAAGTCTTCTGAGGCAGGTTCAAAATTATGATTCTAGTGGAATGCTAGAATGGGAAATATTTACCGTGTCAAGATTACACATGACCTTACAAAAACCATTTGCAATTAGGTTCATCTAGGAGGCTGGCCACCTAGCATATCAGATACCCCAGTACTCACTGTTAAGGTTTCTTGAAACGGTTAGTTATACATGAGAAATAAATTTCTAGTTAACTGTAGTTCTAATTCTATTAATACTTAAACACAGATCTTTCCCAAAAAACAGGGTGCGACGAAAAAACAGCGCTGTGTCTGAGGCACTAGTAGAGTGAGCACGCAGAATTCTGTTTTATTTCTTAAAAGAGTGAGGGGGAAAAAAAATCAACCACACCCAAGACAGGATTACTTTGATCAACACGTTTTCAGGAAATGGAACAAGTTGTTTGGCGACAGTTTCAAAACTGGTTAATTTGAACTTGGAAATGGGTCTTGGAGAACGCAAAGGAACAAGTCTCTGAACGAATTTTTTGGACAAGACAGATCATTCCACTTTCCCCCCAACTGTTCAAGTGGCAAAATAAATTACCATAAATTATATGCCAAGGCAATTTCAAAACAAAATGAAACGACACGAGACCTAGGATTTCCTTCGGTCCTCCAGGAAGTGTATAACACTGTGCTTCTGGCCGGGAGGCCCCGGGCTGGGGACCGGTCAGACGTCTGGGTAGTTGCAGTAGTAAACTGCAGAGCTGGCGTCCGACACCACGGACGAGAGAGCCCCGTGGCTGTCGGAGAGGTTCACATTGGAGTCATGTCCCTGGTAGGGGAGCCCTAGATCTGGTTTGCACACATAATGGAGATACTGTTCAAATTCCGTGCGGTCCACCTCCCCAAGGAGCTCGGCGGGCTGGCTTGGGTCCGCGCCGTCGCGGCAGGGCAGCGCCTCGGGAGGCGGGGACGGCTGACCCGGGCCCGGGGGATGCGGGTGCTGCTGCGGCTGCTGTTGCTGCGGGGGAGGCTGCATCTGGAAACTGCGCCCGCCGCCCACTGAGGGCGAGCCCATGCCGCCGTAGTACATGTGCAGGGCGCTGGGGGGCGCCAGGAGGCCCGGCATGGCGGGGCCCGCCGACTCGGGGCCCAGCCGGGGATGCACCGGGGCTGGCGGCTCCGCGGCCACTGCGTAGTCCGAGACCTGAGCGTAGCTGTAGGTGCCGGCCCCCGGGCAGTCCCCGGGCAGCGGGGCGGCGAAGAAGGCCGGGTCGGGCTCTACGCCGTCCAGCGGGGACGTGTCTGGCGTGGGCAGCGGGTAGCCGTCGAGCGGGGGCGCGCCCAGGCCCTGGCAGTCGCGGTAGTGGCCGCCCATGTGCGGGGGTAGCAGTGGTGGGCCGGCGGGGAAGCCCTGCTCCGGGAAGGGCAGGCCCAGGCCGTCCATGGCCACGCGGCCGGTCTCGGGGCCCAGCGCTGCGGCCTGCGGCTCGGCGAGGCCGTGCAGGAAGCCTCCCTCCACCCGCTTCAGCCGCTTCACCTGCTTGCGGCGCCGGGGCCGGTACTTGTAGTTGGGGTGGTCCTGCATGTGCTGCACGCGCAGCCGCTCGGCCTCCTCCACGAACGGCCGCTTTTCCGCCAGCGTCAGTGCCTTCCACGACTTGCCTGTGAGGGGGCGAACGGAGGTGCAGAGGGGCGCAGGAATTACCGGGCTGAGCTCGGTTCCCAGGCCCCACCTGGTGGTCCCACTTCTCCCCACCCCGACCTTGCATTGCGCAACCAGACACAGCGCGGGGTCAAGTTAAGGAGGGAAAGTTCTGGGACTTCAAGTCCGAGAGCTCTTGGAAGAGGCACGTCTCTTAAACGGTCCCCTCTTCCTTGAACTATGGCAAGCAAAAAAGGGACCGTTCATTCAGTTCCCGGTCGTTCGAAACAAACAAAAGCCCCCCATCCGTAGGCTGAGAAATAATTTGGGGACGGGACCGGCTGGTGCTCTGGCGGCTTCACAGGCGTGCGGGGCCACGGTATCCGATTTTGGGGGCCCTCCAAGGTAACCTCCCAGCACGGTGAGCAAGGTCCTCCGTTTAGGGAGGCAGGCGAGTGCCCCGCAGAGGGATGTGCCCGCACCACTCCCTGGGTCTTGGCCACAATATTCCCATCTCCTCCAGAATCTTAGATTCGACTGGGCAGTGCGCTGAAGCGCGCCTGGTCCCCAGTGCGTACTCACCCAGCATCTTGCTCAGCTCGGCATTGTGTAGGTCCGGGTTCTGCTGCGCTAGCCGCTTGCGTTCGTCCTTTGCCCACACCATGAAGGCGTTCATCGGTCGCCGGATGCGGGACTCGCCCTTGGCTCGGCCCGCGGCTCCGGCCGCCGCTCCGCTGCTCGCCGCCGTCTCGCCCTTCGCCTTCACGTCCCCGAGGGGACTCAGAGACTCGGCCCAGGGACAGGGGCCCAGCCCGGCCATCACCGCGGGCAGCGCGCTCCGGGGCTGGCTCTGGTCGTCACTGGCGTATCCCGCGTCCGGGCTGCTCATGGCTCTCCGGCCCTGCCCGGCGCCCCGCTACCCTCCGCCGGACACGCGCCTCCCCCGACCCTGACAGAGTGGGCGAGGAGCGAGGCAGGAGATGCCTGGAAGGCTGCACGGGTTTCCCGCGGCCCTGAAACTGCCGCCTACTTTGCCAGGTCAGTCCCAGCCGCTGCGCAGCCAGCGCCCCCCGTTGGCCCAAGTGACACTGTGGACACCCCCGGACCGCCGTGCCTTTTCAGCACAGATGTGACCAATGGAGCGGCGGGGGCGGGCCCAGCCCAAGGCGTTAGGCCCACGCCCAGCCAGTGGTCCGAGCTGCTGCAAGCCCCGACAAACTCCTTGGTCCCCCCCCCACACACCACTCCGACCCCTTTCCCGACCGCCCCCCTCCGACCCGCGCTACACCTGCGCCCAGGCCGAATCCGGCGCCAAATGCACCACTAAGGGAAACTGCTAAAAAATCCCTCTGAGGATACTGGTGTAACCAGACATACATGATGTCCTCCAAGGCAGCTCGGGTTCACGTGATAAACAGCCGTTTGGTTCCCCCTTTGAATTGCATCTAGGTTATAAGAACCGCGAGCCTTGCAGGGGTGGGTAACCTAAGTTCTGTACACACACACACACACACACACACACACACACACACACACACACACAATTATATTATATTCAAAATGCTGTGTGCAAGGTGAACCCTATTTCTCCAAAACAGAATTACATGCAGACTGAGGCTCAGTGTGGGAGATTCCCTCACTGGAAGAAATTTGCAAAGCAGCTTTTACTAGTGGCACACCGCCCAAGTTTACACATATAAAGACATCAAGACAGAACTGTTCATCGTGTGTGTTCCGCAAAACAGGCAAGAGTTTCGATTTCTGAAATGTAAAGTTGGCAGCACCATCTGCTCCTACTTGAGATAACAGAGCAGTCCGATGGGGCAATGGTGAAGGTAGCTGCTGCCCTCGGCTCCAGGTGATCACCTTGGCGGACGTGTCTTCAGACTCACGCTTCTCCATGGCCTGGTTAAGAGCACCTACAGCCGGCCTAGGCTGCTGAAACATTACTGCACTAGCGAATCCTTGCAATGCTGTGAGGTTGACGCTGCGCACCTAAGCCACTGAGGGATGGAAGTTAAGGTGCTTGCCTGAGATCCAAGCCTGCACAGCATGGGCTCCACACCAGGCAGGCAACCTTAAAACCTGGGGCTGATACTCCCCAAGCCGGGCTAGGCTGTCCTTGTGTTTGTGTGTTTGTGCATCCCTGTTGCTTTCTAAGATGAAGCGCACAGCTGCTAATGCACACTTTTAAAGGGGACTCAAAGTGTCCAACTCTAGACCAGGGTTTTCTTGTTTGTGAAAAAGTAAAATTTTGGGGCCCAGCGCGGTAGCCTAGAGGTTAAAGTCCTTGCCTTGCACACACAGGAATCCCATGTGGGCACCAGTTCTAATCCCAGCTGCCCCAGCTCCCATCCCGCTCACGGTTCGCGGCCTGGGAAAGCAGTCAAGGACAGCCCAAAGTCTTGGGACTCTGCACCTGCATGGGAGACCTGGAAGAAGTTCCTGGCTCCTGGCTTTGGATAGGCTCAGCTTCAGCCACTGAGGCTACTAGGGAAGTGAATCATCGGATGGGAGATCTTTATGTTTCTCATCCTCTCTGTAAATCTGACGTTCCAATAAAAATAAGCAAATCTTTTTTTTTTCTTTTTAAATAGAACTTACTTGTGTGGACTGATGGGTAAAGCACGACAGCCTTCATGTAATCTGACAACCACGTGGTCATCTATCAAATCTGGCTGCTGAGTGGCTTACTTAAAAACAAGACATGTTGCACATTCCTGTTTTTTTCCTCCAAAGAACTGGCATACAGCTGTTCTGAGCCAGCTTTCCTTTATTTCTGTGAGAATGTGTGAATGGCGGGCTGCTCCCCCTTGCCCTGAACAGCCAGTCCTTGCACGAGAAAAGCCAAGAAAGTGGTTCCCCTTCCTGTATCTCTATAGTTTAAACAAGACTGCAGCTAAAATCCACTTAAGGAAATCTTTGGGCTTGTTATTCATAATTGGGAATTTTGACATAGATCTTAAATTTAGTTCAGAATATATTTTCCTTTGATGCTTATTTTTTCAATCAATACAAAATTAAAAACAGAGCAAAAAATGAACTGTAAGTGGTTAAATAAGGAAGCTACAGGTATGGAGAGAACTGTGTTTTCACGGAGATTTAAAAATTTTTTCTGGAGAGCACTCATTGCCACAACAAATGATCATAAGGAAAGAAATCTATAGCGAACTAAGTAATTTTCTCAGACTATATATCGAAACTAAACGAAACAAATCCCGATACAGAATCCGTTTTTAGTACCCGGATTAGCTTATTTATTACGTTAAAAAAATAGAATCCAGGTGTAGGGTTAAAAGAAAAAATATCTTTGTAGTACTTTCTTCATTCCCCCTTTCGTCGGTGCCAAGCCCATTTCAGGGAGAGGTGCGGTTGGCCACAAAAAGCTGGACAAAAGGATGAGAAAGACGACCCAGGGGTTCCGCTCGCTATCTGCACCCTTTTTAGCAGCCGGTCTTTGTCGGTGAGATAATTGCAGCACACCCGTCTGGGACGGGGTCGGGCCTTCGGCGCCCCTCCCCCTAGCCCTTGCAGCGCACTCCCTGGGCGTCCCAAGCAGCGGCTTACTAAACGCGCTGCCAAGAGGGGCTGTGGTGTCTTGTCGGCACTAGCCCCTTACGCGTGCTGGCACCCAGATCATATTTCCTCCGCTCATTCCTAGTTCGTTCTTGCCTTCCTTATTATTTTTTTTTTTTCTTTTCTCCTCTGGGGTGGGGGAAGAGTTTGGGGAGGAAGGGGAGTCGCAGACTTGCCCGCCGTGTGTGCGGACTTGGATTTCAATCTGTCCACTCAAAGCGGCGTTGGAAGCTGAACTCGATGTGTTATCAGAGCCAGCCACAAATGCCACTTGTAAAGAAGCAAACATCCGGAGTGGCTTCCTGCAAGCCTTGCTTTTCTCAACACCAGAGATTTATGTGGGGCGGGAGGGTGGAGAGGGAGACAAGTTTGACGAGTAGGGGCCGAACACACCCGTTCTGCAGCGGGTCGGGTGCGGGTGCGTGCGTACCACAGCCGCCGGGGGTCTCTGGCTTCCCGGTTACTGACGGCACGCGCAAACTCCGTGCCCTGGGCTGGACGCGAGGCCCGAAAGGCAGGGCGAGGACGCGACTAGTGTAGCAAGAAGCTGTGCCCGTTAATCACTTGCGGCCTCGGGTCAGCAGGCGCAGATAATTCCCGGGTAGGTGGCGAAATGTGGCTGTGACTTGTGCGCGTCAGAACCACACTTTTCCGCGCGCACCGCAGACCTTTAGGCTTCCAAAGATGGTGGGAAGGTGGCCGCGGGACAAAGGGCACAGTCACCGGGACAGGATCCGTGGACACCCCGTCGGGTGCGGGGACGAGAGAGCGTTTCACACACCCGGAGGCGGGGCGCGGGATGGGTGGTGGGGAACTCCGGGGCGGCCCGCAAGGGAATACACATTGGTGTTCCTGGAACAAAGAGCAGCCACCGAGACTTTTGCATTTATAAGCCGCCCGAGGTCGCGACCTCCGGAGAGTGCCACGGCCGAGCAGGGCCAAGGTCCCCGCACCACCCACGTAGAGCCGCGCAGCCAGACGCTGCCGATTCGCACCTAGCGCCCCGGCGCCGACTGGGCGGTGGCACCGCGCCCCTGGATACCTTTCGCGTCCCCTCCCAGTCCCCGGGCCCGTCTTCTGTGGGTGCGGGATGGAGGTCGAAGGTCGCGGGCGGGAGGGGAATGGCTGGGAGGAAGGAGTGGTCCGGAAGATAGCGGTCAGCCGTTCGCCGCCGCTACCGTCCCCGGCGCCGCGCGCCCCGACCCCCGCTCGCGCCAACACCGGCAGCCTCGCCTAGTGCACGGGGACTAAAAAGGGGCGACGGCGAGAGGATCTTTGTGGGACACTGCGAGCGTGCCCTTTGCGTTCGCGCCCTCCCCCGCCGTCGGCCCTCGTGGCTGGCCCCGAACCCCGCCCTGGCAGCGGGCGACTCCTCGGAGGTCTCCTCGTTCCCACTTGGCCCCACCTGGGGTTCGCACGGGCGAAGCAGGAAATGTGCTGCTCCCGTCCCACTTCCCTGCTCAGAAACTCATCCACGGAGGCTGTGTCTTGGGTCCCCCACCTCTGACTGTGACCCTTGGGGTAGAGGTGTGCTGCCATTCATTGCCTGGCTTATGGGACTTAGCTCCGCTGGGGAGATGACGTTGGGGGGTGAGGGAAAGCATTACACCTCCCCTTGGGCGTTCTAGGAAATTTGAGGAGCGACTTGGCCTCTGTGTGGCCGAGGCTGCTGCTGATTCCCGGACGCACGCTCTCCACCCGCGCTTCCTTGGAGAGTGTGCCCTTGACTGCCCAGTCTTATCAGCACATCCCTTTGTGGGCACAGCACTTCCACTCCCACCGGAGAAGGGGAGCAGACACGGTCCCTGCCTCGGAGGAATGTCCCCTGCAGTATCATTAGTCTTCCTCCCTAAGATTCATTCACCTCCAGCTGGGTGTTTTAGGGCTGTTCTCAAGAAATAATTCGTGCCTGCCATGAAAAGGTGGTGCTGACATCAGTAGGTCGAACGCTTTGAGGTATGTATCCCACCACTCCCACCCCATCCCTGGTTGCCTTTCCACCCTGAAAACTCTGACCTGCCAAGTTTCCTGAGTAAGCCTGGTTGAATTGTGCCAAGTGGTGAGTTAGGGCAAGGTGTGCGTCCTGTGATCATGGGTGTGATCAAAGCTGAATAGGTCACAGGAGAGGCCACTGCCGACAGCACTCATTACAGACCCTCCTTGTTCAGCTGTAGCAGCGAGTGTATCAGATTTGGACACGGGAACTCAGTCTGCTTCCAGAATTTCTAGACTGGAGGAAAAAAAAAATGTCCCTGATCCTCTTTTGACTCCTTTACAACCTGCCTTCTGTTGACATCTGGTACCCACATTTTCTTCTGTTGGTCATTTCTTTAACTTTGCCAACAACTTTGACCATATTCTTTCTGTCTTTCTGTTTTCTCAAAGCACAGATAATCCATCAGTCTTTAG